CCTTCTTCAGACCCGAAACGTCAGCTTTCCTGCTCCTCTGATGCTGCCTGGCCTGCTGTGTTCCTCCAGCTCCACACTGTGTTATCTTGGACTCCAGCATCTGCAGTTCTTACTATCCCTAATTAGGGATCAGGTTATTTTAGAGTTAGTGTCACAAAATAAGAATGGGTTAATTAATAATATAGCTGAAAATTAGCTATTAGGAAATAGTGACCATAAAATGATAGAATCTTGGCATGAAATTCGAAAGCGATATGGTTCAATCCAAAATGAGGGTTCCAAACGTGAACAAAGGAAATTATGAGGGTATATAGAGCAAGTCGGCTGCAGTGAAATGATAAATACATGAAAAGATTTGATGGTAGCCTGGCAACGGCTAGTATTCAAAGAAGTATTATATGGTCCATAACAAATATATATTGATTTAAATCACAAAAATCCAACAGGAAAGGAGAATCTACCATGGCTAACAAAAGTTAAAGTTTGTAGTAGATCAAGGAAGTGCATGATAAAACTGCTAAGAAAAGTAATAAGCCCAAGGATTGGAATTTACTTAAAATCCAGAAAAAGAGGACCAACAGACTGAAAGGGAAAAGAGAATATTGTAATTTAAGATGTGAGATAATATATGTAAAAATATTATTTATTTTAGAATTAGGATTTTGAACTTGTGACATGTGAGTTTTAGTCATTGTGTATGAGGTGGTTTAATAATTAACTTGTCAGTTTTTGTAGCGTCATGGTTTCAAATCATCTACATGCCAGACAGTAAGTAACTTGGGCCTTCCTGGAGTGATAACGTAGTTTGTTTGTATTGTGAGGGTTTTATGAACAGAAAAGACAAATGTCAAAAGGCATTAGTTACTTTGAAGAATTAAAAAACTTTTTATTTCGGAAAATCCCATTGAATGGAAAGCTTTTAATTTCAGTTTTCAGAAGACCTGGCTGGGGTCAGATGTGAGAACAGCTTCTGCGAGAGCAAGGAGTTAGTTTAAAACAGTTTGGAAATAGGTTCACCTCAGTGTAAGGACTTTAGTTTGAAAATTCCACAGTATAAGTGTTTGGTGACAACCCAGATGATATTATTTAGGAGGTGATGACCGAGGGGTATTATTACTAGACTATTAATCCCGAGCCCTAAATAATATCCTGGGGGCACAAATTCGAATCCCGCTATGATAGATGGTAGAACTTGAATTCAATAAAAATCAGAATTAAGAGTCTAATGATGACCATGAATCCATTGCCAATTGTTGAAAAACCCATCTGGTTCACTAATGTCCTTTAGGAAAGGAAACTGCCATCTCACCTTCTCTGGCCTACATGTGACAACAGACCCACAGTAATGTGGTTGATTCTTGAAAATGCCCTCTGGGCAATGCATAATGGGAAATAAATGTTGGCCTGGCTAGCAACACCTTCATACCATAATGAATTTAAATAAATTGAAGCTAAGTACGTATAAGCTCAATATGCAAGTAATGATGAAAAAGGCTGTCACAATCTCAAAACCAGGAATTGGAAAAAACAGTTAAGTCAAACCTATAGATGTGATAGAAACAAGAACTCTTTTTGGTATTGGATACCCGAAGTGAACGTGCTGGACGGATGGGATTTTATTCTGCTATATATTTCAAATTCTTTCAAATTGTGGGAAATGTAAATACCTTGGCCTGTTCTACTTCATTTTTATTTCTTTTGTGCAATAAACATATAATTTTTGGTAAAGCCAAATCCACAAAATTGCATGGTTATGCTGCAGAAAAAAACCACCACCTTACATTAGAAAAAAAAATCAAAAGATGATATATCAAGCCAGATTTCAGTTTGGGATCTTATTTGTCTCGCAGTTACGTCAGCTGGGATCATCATAATATGAACGTAAGATAATATGAAACATAAAGGCAGACTGTAAAAACTTCTTCAGGTTTTCAAAAAAACATTCATGTGTTGGGGTTTCTGCCATTCTCACATTCTGATTACCTAATCTGCACAATCAACGCCGTTTCTCCCCCAGCACTCCATCCCCACTATTTCATAAATGCTGCCCCCTCCATACTTCACGTAGCTCTGATGAAGAGTCAACTAGACTTGAAACGTTAGCTTGCTTTCTCTCCACAAATGCTGCCTGACCCCCTGTGATTTCCAGCACTTTTTGTTGTCAAATGGGTGTATTTCATCATGTTCATAACAAGTGCCATGTAGATGGTGACATACTTTGGGAAGTCGAGAGGTGAGTCACTCACTGCAGTACTCCTAGCCTTTGAGCTGCTTCTGTAGCAACAGTATTCATATAGTTAGTCAAGTTCAGTTTCTGGTCAATGGTAACCCCAGGATATTGATAGTGGGGATTCAGTGATGGTTATGTTGTTTAATGTCAAGGGGCAATAGTTATATTAAGTCTTGTTGGAGATGGTAATTGTCTGGCACATATATTGTGAAAATGCTACTGCTATTTGTTAATTAAATCCTGGATATTTTCCAAGTCTTACTATATTTGGACATTGACTACTTCAGTATCTGAGAATTTTAAAAAAAAAATTAGCAATGACAAATGTGTGTATTTCTGGCGGAGACAGAGGAGAGTGCAATGGAGAATTGGGAAGAAAAACTGAACAATTATTTTGCAACTGTCTTCACAGTAGAAGATACATAAAATCTCCCAGAAATGCAAGGGAGCCAAGGAACAAATGTAAATGAGGTACTGAAAGAATTAATAAAGAGATAGGATTAAAATATTAATTGACTTGGAGATTGCCAAATCCCTTGAACCAGATGACCTACATCTCAGAACATTGAAGAAAGTCACTATGGCAATAATAGATGCATTGGTGGTTACCTTTCAACATTTTATAGATTATGGAAAGGTTCCCACTCACGGGAACATAACAAAGGTATACCCTATTATTCAAGAAGGGAAGGAGAGAGAGAAAACGGAAAACTACAAATCTATTAGCTTGATGGCAGGAGTAAGGAAATTGTTTGAATATATTATAAAAGATATAACTGGACACTGAGAAGATAAAAATGATATGATTGGGCAGAGTTAACATTAATTTATGAAAGGCAAGTCTTGTTTGATAAATCTGTTGGTATTTTTTTAGGATGCTACTTGCAGCATAGATAAAGGTGAGCAGCCAGTTAATGTGGTTTATTGGAACTTCAGAGGCCTTTCACCAAGGTTCCACACAGGATGTTAGTAAACAAAATTGGTTCACATGGGATAACAATGTAGAGCTGGATGAACACAGCAGGCCAGGCAGCATCAGAGGAAAGCTGATGTTTCAGGTTTGGACCCTTCTTCAGAAGATTTCCTTCTGAAGAAGGGTCCAGACCCGAAACGTCAGCTTTCCTGCTCCTCTGATGCTGCTTGGCCTGCTGTGTTCATCCAGCTCTGCACCTTGTTATCTCAGACTCCAGCATCAGCAGTTCCTACTATCTCTGGTTCACATGGGATTGGGGTAATTTATTGCCATGGATTGAGAATTGCTTAACAGACAGAGTACAGAGAATAAGAATAAACAAGTCATTTTCGGTGTGGCAGGTGGTTCATAGGGCGTTATTGAAAGGAGCAGTGTTTGGGCAACAGCTGTTCACAATCTACATAAGTGATCTGGATGTTGAAAATTTGCTGATGACACAAAATTAGGTGGAAAATACGCGTTGTGATGAGGATGCAAAGAGACTTCAAGGGAATTTGCATAGGCTACATGAATGAGCAATAACATGGCAGATGGAATATAATGCAAATAGTGTGAAGTTATCTATTTCAGTAAAAAAGCATAAAAGCAAATAAATTGGGAGGAGCTGCAAAGTGTTGATGACCAAAAGGGACCTTGATCATGAGTCACCATGAGCGAAAATGCAGGTGCAACAAATAATTAAGAAGGCAAATGATATGTTAACCTTCATCGCAAGGGGAGTTCAGTACAGGGATAAAGATGTTTTGCTGCAATTGTATAGCGCCTTGGTGAGACCAACTTGGAGTATCATGTACAGTTTTGGTCACCTTATCCAAGGAAGGAGAAACATGGCATAGCAGGAGTACAACAGAGTTTTATCGGCCTAGCCTCTGGAGCGAGATTGCCTTGTGAGGAGTCTACTCCTGCTCCTATCTTCTATATTTCTATGGATCGAAGAAACTGCTCTCATTTTCTGCACTCAAACGCTTCCTCCACTTTCTGTATTCTGACTGTATCCATACACAGTTTTCTTGAAAGTTCCATCTTACTCTGGAAACATCAAAGTTGAGGGTGTCAAACAGTGGTAACAAACCTGAAATGTTAGAGATTTTAGATTCAACGAAGAATCTAGAACTAAGGGGGCACATGGCAGAACTGGCTCAAGGAGCTGAACAGACTATTACCGTTTCCTATGTTCTTCTAAATTATTGTAAAATGTTAAATACTTACATTATCATTTGAACCGTTGTTATCTTCATATTTTGTTTCAATATGAATGAAGAACTTAGGTAAAAAGGAGCACTGAAAAACAAAATTAAATGAATTAATCACCACTTTGTTTGTATTCATGGCAGAACACACGTGGAAATATAAATAGGCAGTTGGCTGAAAATTCCCTCATGTGTGAAAAAATGGCCAAAGTCATAATTGCCCTAAAGTTCTCCAGAGAAACAGATTTCTCTGAGATTTTCTTTTATCTTCTGATAAGATAATGATGGACAATGGAGAGATTTGTAGAGATGCAACTGTACTGATTATGTTCAGTGATCTGGTATTTCTAAGTTTATATACTGACCACTTAAAGCTTGAAAAACATTATAAAATCAGTTCCTTTGAATATCATTTGTCATTCCTTTTCCACTCGACTTGTACTTCTGCATTTCAGGCAGCAGGTGCATGCCCTTGCTCAAAGAGCAGAACACCCTCAGATGATGTCATTGCTCTTGACAGCCAGCCCTCAGGGGACAGAGGGACCACTCTCTCCTGATTTAGTAAATCTCTTTCCACTGCAGGGAACTGCCACTGTTTCTATTTGCTGCACTCAATCAAGGACAGAGCAGATGGGAATCAAACCTGCATCTATGTTGTACTATTTCATTGAGCATCACTATTTTATCATTTCGCAAAATTGTGCTTCACAGCTTTCAAATTTCAAAATTGTTAGTTTCCACTCAAAGAAGCTAATGAATAATAGGATGTTTGCAAAAAGATGACAGCTAAATTAAATGATTGTACCATTAAGCACAAGAATAAGAATGGACTGTTTGTTAGCTACATTAGATGACATATTTTCTGTCACCCAAACAGAACAAATTTATTTATAATGTACCTGCAAATTTCTCATGTTTCTTCCAAAGCTAGTTAATAAATATAAAGTTTATATATACAAGTTGGCTTACTCCTGCTCCTAATTCCTGCGCCCTTTTAGAATTGGTCGTCTTCAGGCACTTGCTCCATAGAGGCATCGAATGGTTAGAGCCTGTCGTGACAGTATATTTTTCATTCGATTCATAAAATGTATGTACTCCACTCACTAGGTATTGATCAACCCTAATTGCCCTTGAGAAGGTGGTGAGCTGTTTTCTTGAACTGCCACAATCAATCTGGTATAGGTACACTCAGTGCTGTTTTGAAGGGAGTCCCAGGGTTCCAACTCAGTGATGGTACAGAAACATTTACTCAGTTCCAAGTCAAAATAGTACATGACTTGATGGAGAACTTGCATGTGGTGGCAATCTCACAGTTCTGTTGTCCTTGTCCTTCCAGACGGCAGAGATCAAAGATTTGGCAGGTGCTGTCAAAAAAGCTTTGGAGAATTGATGCAGTGCATAATGGAGAAGGTGAATTGCAGCCACTGTATGGCAGTGGTAAATACATGACTTTTTAAGCTCGTGGATAAGTTGCAATCAAGCAGACCGGTTTGTCTACAATGGGCTTGAGCTTCTTGAGTGACATCAGAAAACTGAATTGAAAATGTAGATGTAGTAGTTACACTATTAAATATTAATACAAAAGCTGAATTTGAAATCATGCCAACAGAAATAAGATTTGTTAACTGGAAGTATGCATCTTTTACAACATTTTAAACACGAAAATAGATGGAGACCTTCTCTTAAAGGTTTATTTGGTAAGTCATCTTTTTTGGGTGTTATATGAAAATTATACAGGATTGTTTAATACTCAAAGAGAAGCAACAGCTAAACCAGAAAGAATGTTGTTTGATAGAACAAAGTTACCAAGCACAAAATAATACAATTCTAGTATAGCCATGCTCAGACACAAGCCACTAGACTATAAAGGTTAAGCCATAAATTTCCCTTTCAAATATTATTCTCTTAGATTACTACTATAAAATGAAAGCAAGGATTAGGGAACAAAACGTGATTTTAAAACTAAGGAAACACTTGCTGATGGTCTGAAAATTGAATGTTTCTCCAGGAAGAATTGGAAAAGATGTAGCTCTAATATTACTGCTGTGTTCTTATATATATTTGGCACATTAAAAAAATCTTCATTCATCTGTAAGGATGTAGATGTCTGATTATCCCACAATTAAAGGAAACCTCTGAGTGAACTGACTGCAGCTCAAACAATAGTTCTATGTCCTTTTCAGAATAAGCTAAATATAACTTCTTATTCAAATCAAGCCTTCCAAATGCTGTCAAAACTATTTACTCCCTGTGAAATAAATGTCAAAGTTCCCTACCCCAGCTGTTCTTTTCAAAGGATTCATGACATCAAATTAATTCATCTTCAACATCACTGGTTTTAGGCTTGGGACTCGTGAATTTTCAAGTAAAAAAATGTCAGCAAAGGAACAAATAGGTGCAGCAAATACACTTAAAATGACTACAGTTGAAATTTAGATGACTATTAACAGTGTCATGAATATTGTAACAAAAGGAGATTGTCCATTAAAATGGATAAATCTGCAGTGTACATGTTTACTAAGAAACACTACATCACCAACAAATTGGTATATAAAAAAACTATTAAACGGAAATCTTTTGAGAAATATTAGTTACTTTGCAATAATCTGAAAACATGTAATAGTTGGCTCCAGCCATGGATGGAGAAGAGATCAGTTGCAGTGAGGGAGACTACATCACTGAATTAATTATAATGTTATGTGGCAAGTGTCATCATGATTTTCTTTCATAAAATCAGCTATACACAGACTCCAGCCTGGAAATGCTGACATTTTTGCATGAGTTTTATAAAATATCAATTCTCACTAGTGACAAAATATCTTGGGAGTGTTTAATTTGTGAAGTTTGACAATTTTCAGAATTAAATGGTAGGTAGACTAAGGGAAAGGCAGCATGGCCCAAATAGGGGACATGTATTAGCTGTTTTTGCTGCATCTTCTTTGGATATGAGAGGCAATACAACCCTACTCCCACCTTGTGAAGGATGTATAGCATCTCAATGTCCAACAGGGACCTCAATAATTGCCATGTCCAGAATATTCCAGAATCTAAACAGATTTTTTTTTCCAAGTTAACATTATTTTGACGTAATCTGTCTATTCAAAATGCCACCTAGTTTAAGTTCTAAGCGACAAGCTATTATTTTCAGATCTTAATCAACAAGGAATATTTAATCAAAATCTAAACAATGAACATGTCCAGAGACTAGAAGCTAAAAATTTATCTCCCGATGTTTTTGGGCATGGGGATTGCGATCTGTCCATACCCATTAATATAGACAGCATACAAACATTGTGCCACCTTCTCATTTGTGTAGCTGTAGCATCGTAGATTGTTGTGTGACCCATATTGCTGCCTGACTGAACACTTTGCAGAATGTCTAGCACCATGTGAAGCTGGCATACGTTAACGTTCTTAAATGGGAATTGCACTGACTACGAGGAATTATTTACCCATTCTGGTCATAAACATACAAAAGCAAAATATTTCTTAAAAGTAGTGAAGATTATAAATGATGACATTCTGAAGGTTTTGGGTGCATATATATAATGAACACAAACGTTACCAGCTACATACAGGAAACAATTAGGAAGGTGTAGTGATTGTAAAAAGGTCAGTCAGGTGGACCTCATAGAATATGAGTTCCCAGATTGGGACTGTTAATCTGGTCCAATCAGGAAGTCCTGGTTGACAGATAAAAACAGAAGTATCAGATATCACAGCTGGCTCTGAGGGAGCTAGATCAGTCTCAAGGACTTTCTATGTATACATAAATAGTGATTTGGTGATGAGATACTGGCCTCTGTGGAGTTATTTCAGAAGGCAAATGGAAAATTGATCTTTGTTGCAAGGGGATTGGATCCAAGATTACAAGTACAATTGCTACAATTGTACATGATTTGGTGACACAATACCTGGAGAGTTGGGTGGTCTTTGTCTCTATGTTTAAGGAAGGAGATATTTGCATTGGAGGTTCATCAAAGGTTCACTAGATTAATTCTTGGGATGAAAGTGTACATATGATAGTCATTAAATGGCTGCTGAAACAGAGATTGGGGTATGGTGGGTCACTGGCTTAGGCTACAGTTATTTCAGACCAAGATGGGAAATTTTACCATTTAAAATATTGTGAGTGTTTAGCTTCACCTATCAAGGTGTGGATGGTCCATTGCTGAAATATTTGAGGTAAATAGCTTTTTTTTATCTCTTAGGGAATCAAGGAGTATTGGGAGTGGAGGTAAGGCTGATGACCATACTGAATGGCAGAGCACGTTCAAGGGGCCCAATGGTCTCCTTCTGCTTCTAATTCATACATTCTTATGTTCTCAAGGAAGCAGCTGTAAACTACTTGGTGCAATTGGTTGTAGGTGCAATCAGAAAACAAGAATCACCAGGGAAGAGAGAGAGTTCCCAAGTTCACAGATGCAATTCCAGAGGTCTTAGTGATGTAGGGCAGCGGGAGCGGGGAGATCACATTTCCAGCGGGGACTAGAAAGACTTCAAGGAATATCACCTGAAGGTTATTCAGGAGCAGCTGGCCAGGAGGATCAACTGCCTGTCTAGCCCAGGAGACCCTGCAGCAAAGCTTCAAGAAGTTTGATAATTTTACATACGTACTCAAAGTCAGTGAATGATTACTCAAGTCTTCAGACCCATCGCAGGACCACCCTTTCATGCTGCAAAATCCATCACCCCTTATGAATTTCTATCTATCGCCCTAAGCATTCAGGATGCAAGCCTAACATTCAAATATGCTTTGCACATACACTGTAATGATGTGAGCCTCACACCCATATCTCATAACCTCACATACTTGCATGTGTACAGCAATTCCCCTTGCAGCGTAGGATGTCACTTGGACTGTATCAAAGGAAGTGAATCAAGACACAAAGTCCTTAACTTTGTTCTATTATCAGTAAGTTTCACATAATCAGAAAGGAGAGATTACATCCAGAGTGAATCACAACCCGGTGAATATATATTTCTGGGATTTTGGAGCAGCATGGGATTTCAGTGCAGAGCAGAAAAGTGCTTTTTGCTTGCTTTATTTGAGCATACTTTATAAGGTCTTTTTAACAGGATAAATTGAAG